GATGGCATTTTCGTATTAGTAACGAAGATGGCTGGATGCATACAATGGTCACTCGCGATCCTGTAGATCGCTTTTTATCAGGATTTGTTGACAAATGTGTTAGGTAGTAGTAGTTTATCTCTTAAGTTCAACTAATTAAATGTAACTGCAAGATTGCAGGGCACATATGCCTGGAGAGTACTGTAATGGCTGCAAAGCGAATATGACGTGTTTTATAATTAAAGAATACGAACGTATGATTGCAGAGGTTCCTTTTACAATAGAAAAGCTTTGTTAGGAAAAAGTTCCGCTGCGTAATTTTCCTCTTAGGTGAACAAAGATCGCTTCACTCGGACGTACGAAGATAGACATTTTTTTCCACAGAATTGGTTCGTGATCAATCTTGCTCTGCTTGACGATATTTAAATTTTGTCCTTCGATTCAGGCGCTGCGAGTTGTTCAAAAATCCCCATCGCGTCTTTATCCGTTATTCCTCAAATGCTACAGACACTCTGCTAGATGATCTCTTCAAAATTTTCTCACAACAGAAGGTAGGCGAGCGGCAAATTTTTTGATCAGAAGGACAATTTCTGAACCTCCGGGAAATACTTGGGCACCTCAAGTGCTGCTTTAGAATTAACACTAGGAAGAATAACAAGCAGTAGGTGTGTGCATTGTAGGTTGAGAACTCAACTCTTGACTTCATACGCAATGAACTCACCTCAGGTCGAACTCCACATAGCACAATCCAGTCTTATGCAAGAAATTTCCTTGAGGAAAGGTCAGGTTATCTTAATCTCAGAATTTTCGTTTTAGATAGGCTTAGCAAGTTTTGAATCTTTGTTTGTTTACAGGTTACGTAGCAATGGCTTTCTCATGGAATATATTGTACGGATGTTTTACCACGATTTTAAGATACTTCATTATGAATTACCAAATGGATTTAAATAAAAATTCCAATTTAGCTCTTTTCAATCTAAATCTGAAGCAGATTTTTTCCCAAAATTTGTACAACTTGAAAGTATGTACTTCGTATTCATTAGTTGCAATTTTATTGCACTTGTTTTTAAATTACTTTATGGGCATATTCTATATTATATATTATTTGAAGCTGTAACCAAAAGG